TGTTTGTCCTTAAAAGCAACCTATTAAAGCCATAAAAAAAGCTAATTGAGCTAGTAGGAACATAAAATGCTGTGCCTTTAACAATAACATAAATGTGAATTCCTGCTCCTTTTGTTAGCATCACTTTAGTCTTGTTGGTGGCTGCATAAAGAAAGCCAGAGCACAGGGTATTTAAACCATACAGACACAATGCGTTTTATTGTTGTATCACATCTCCTGCAAATACCACCCTCATTGGATGCTGCCAGAGATGTTTAGAAAGAAAAACTGCAATAATGTATTTATCCTGTGTACATTCTTTTTCAGTAAAGAGATTGGTGTTGTATACTGAAGATTAGTCAATATATCATTATTTAGGAGGATACACATTCCATTGGACTTACAAAAAGCAGTGCTTCCACTAGCTGAAGTTGAAAAGAAAGGAAAATTGTGTCGTGGGTCTGGGGGCTGGCCCAGCAGGGTCAAGGGACAGCGTCCTGGTGGGGGCTCAGGGGGCGAAGCCCCCGAAGAAATTGAAATCAAAGTGTATACAGACCCGGTAACCGGGAACAAAGTCACGAAGTATGCAGACCCGGTAGGGGAACTCTTTTGTGATTTCAGAAAGTTTTAGCGCCCAGACCTGGTAGTGTGTGTGTGTGTGTGTGTGTGTGTGTGTGTGTGTGTGTGTGTGTGTGTGTGAGAGAGAGAGAGAGAGAGAGAGAGAGAAAGAGAGAGAGAGAGAAAGAGAGGGAGAGAGAGAGAGAGAGGGAGAGGGAGAGAGAGAGAGAGAGAGAGAGAGAGAGAGAGAGAGAGAGAGAGAGAGAGAGAGAGAGAGAGAGAGAGAGAGAGAGAGAGAGAGAGAAAGAGAGAGCAGGGGGAAGTGCTAGCAAAATGTATATGACATGCCCCCGTTGGCAGGAGGGAACAAGAGAAAGATAGAATGGGAAATAGGTGGGGAGAAAGAAAGACAGAGACAAACAAAGAAAAAGAGAATGCGAGCGATACACAGAGAGAGAGAGAGAGAGAGAGAGAGAGAGAGAGAGAGAGAGAGAGAGAGAGAGAGAGAGAGAGAGAGAGAGAGAGAGAGAGAGAGAGAGAGAGAGAGAGAGAGAGAGAGAGAGAGAGAGAGAAGAGGGGGGGGGGGGGTGACAGAGAAATAGAGAGGGTGACAGCTCGATTGAAATTATAACATTGTTCTTTTCTTCAAATTGTGATTCCTCCAATTCCAAAACAGAGGAAAAACGATTGTTCTTCGAAAAGACATCCGCAATCTTCATTTAGAGCTAGATCTAGGCTAGCCTCGAAACTAGATCAATGATTTATGTCAGTCTGTCTAGATCTAGACCTATGCCATAGATCTAGAAGAGCCTAGGTAGTGTACATCTATGGTCAACCCTGAGCCAAGAGGGTGCTGAAACTTTCCGAAATCACAAAAGAGTTCCCCTACCGGGTCTGTATACTTTGTGACTTTGTTCCCGGCTACCGGGTCTGTATACACTCCCAATTGAAATTTAGTGCTTTCAGAGGGTTGAAAATGGCATTTGGGAGCCTGTTTGAAGAGGTTGCCTGCAAACCATAACATTTATTTTTTCACCAACATTTGGTCTTGTCTGATTTCTTTACCAAGATCTACATAATATATTTCCATTGATGGCAATGTTTAAAAGCAGGTTCCCCTTCCATTGCTACTGTAATTCAATTAATTTGTCATCGCACCATTGATAGAAGGCAAAACTGGGAATAATGAATAGATATAGGTACATGTACCTTCACAATACAGTTACATGCTGTATACTCTAATTTTCCTTAAATTTCTCTCCTGAATATCGCATGTCACAGCCTCGGCACACCACTTCGAATTATTCTTGACTTTAGTAGTTTTACCACAAATTTCTTTCATCGCGGCCCTTATCGCGTTCCCGTGCCGTAGAATCTTCGTATTGATCATTTCTCTAGATCTAGACAAATTTGTAAAAAAGTTTCTTTCTGACAGTAATTTTTGGTCTACGATCACAAGTCAATTTACTTAATCAACGCGAAGATTTTCCTACCGCGGCAACAATCCGAAGATAGACAGACGGAATGAGTGAATGATAGAATGGAGGAAACTGGCACAAAAAGTTCGCCAGATTTTGATCCATTCACAGGTAAAAATGTACTGCCGACAAGCCCGCAATGAATGCATGGGGCATAGCGGGATAATGGCCGATTGCAAGAAATGCGCAATCTGGCAGGTTTCTTTAACTTATGGCCGAGAGAATTACCGTAAATATCCGTAACTTATACTAGTACAGTGGAATCCTGTTATAACGAGAGGGAGGGGACCGGTACGAAATGTCCGTTATAGCAGGATCCTCGTTAAAAGGGATCCAGTTATAAATTCAAAGGAAATAAAAAAGTAGGCCTAATCTATGAGTTTGGTGTTCTGTTTATTTCTTTTTGTTATCTCCCCTGATGATGGTGTTGCTCAACATGACCTCTTAGTCTTACTTGGATCAAAAATCGAATCAGGTTTCTTTCTCTAGCATTAGCGATGTTGACAGCTCGGCATTGGTGATCATTTCTCTAGGCTAACTCGCCCACTGTGGCTAACTCGCCCGCTGTGTTTTCCCCCACCCCACCACACCGTGTGGTGCGTTCCCGCATCTGCTTGCGCACGTCACACATTCGCTCCATGATCCATCTCAGCACTGTGACCTCTCCATCCCCGCATCGGAGAAGTGAGAGGCATGATAGGCCTAGATAATCTAGACTAGGCTGGCCTATCACTATCAGGCAATGCGTTCTGCTTCACAATGGCTTGTCTGCGCGTGTCACACCCTCCCCACTGATTCGCTATGGCCTTCATTGTTGGCCCACATGGGCTCTCCCATTCTCTGCTTCGCTAGATCACCAACAACTGGCGAGGTTTTACATGATATAAATGGCCTATACGCTGTGCACAGCAGCAGCAGGAATATTCCGCTATAACCGACTCGTGCGTTTATCTGATTGCGCTATAGCAGTATTTTGTTTACAAAGATAAAGAAGGGGAAAAACGGGGTTTTGGAATAATGTCTTTATAACAGACTTCTCGTTATTTCAGGACTCGTTATAAGTGGACTCTACTGTACTTGACGATACGAAGGCAAGTACGGATCTTTTGCTACGGAATTTCAGTAGTCCTACGCTGTCGCAGCTTTTTACGGAGGGAGTTTAAAACGATGGTGGAACAAGTATGGAACTGGCAGAAAGTACGGATTTCCGTAAAAATACGGAAGAGTGGAAGCACTGAAAAAGCCATGAATGAGGGGAAGTGTTTTGGTTATCATGCTCATGATAAGTCACCTGTACTACTGCAGACAAAATTTTTAAAGAATCAATTTTTAAAGACATTTTCCTGTCTTATTTACCAGTTTTATAAATATTTATAATTTCATTAATAAGTTATTAGCCACTGAAGTACGTGTTTGTTGCTTAGACTAACTATGAATAGATAGACATTTTAAGAGTATCTAATTCCAAAAACATGAGCAGCCATGGTATTGCTTCTTCGTACCAATAAAGAAATCAAGTTGTTTCTCAAAAGAACAAACTTGTGTGCATGTATGATATTGTATGTTTGTGTAAGACGATAAAACATCTGTTGAAAAATTCATTTTAATGGATGCTAACAATGACCTTTGTGTGACCCAAGCAACTGTTACTTGCTCACTCAATCGCCGAACCGACTAAGAGAGCGGAGTTTGTACGCCCTGCAAAGTATTGTCCCTGATTGCCCAGACCACAGCTGCAGTGTCCAAACTTAAAGTCAACTGGGTTGTAAAGAACATCGCCATCAGCTGCAAAATCAGACAGATGAGTTCTCTGTCCGTGCCCATATTTTTTTACGCATGTGAAATGTGAACCATAACAGAAGAAACCGTAATTGACTACTTCAGTGAAAAGAACATTTTGGAAATTTTATGGGCATGTCATATGATCATCTAGACAGGACAAGACTATTACTAGGGAACCGCACAAGGAGGGAGATGAAGAGGTGGACAGTGGAAACGATGAGAGACCATAAAGTAAAATGGCCATGACTGGAGCATCATATCAGGCAACAGAAAGCTTGGAACTGCGAGGAGTGAAAGAAGCTGATGGTAAAAAATAATTTCTTTTTAAATTTCAAAAATAAAAAAATTTCTATTGCTCACAGTTGGGAGTAAAAAAAACCCCAACTTAACTAATTACCACTTAATTATATCAAACTGCAAATAAAGATTGCATGAAAAATGTAAAATGGCCAAAGTCTGGGCTTCTTCTTTTCATTATGTTCATAGTCTTCATTGTAGTTCATGTCCTAACTGTAGCCATCCTCTTAGTAACATGCAATACTCTTTTTGTCTGCATATCTTCTTTGTGTTTTATGTTTATCATGGCTGCTTTGATACCATGGCTGCTCACGTTTTTGGAATTAGATAGTCTTAAAGATAAAAGCATCTTCTGTTGAAGGAGCTTTAAAAGAAAACAAACAAAATAAACTGCAGCTTTTCTGCATCCCTTATCATTTAACTAAGATCTTTGAATGCATACCATTTCAGAATTGTTCTTTTCACTGAAGTGGGAAATTCCGGTTCTCATGATCTCATTGTTTATGTGATCTCTATGCAAAATACAGAGGAGTATGCAGACCCTCTTTTGTGACCCACTTTCTACGAAAATATGAAAAAAAAAAACCTAGTTTCCTGTCATAATTATCAAACTTCTCTGATACATCAGTGTCTCCTGTTTAAAAGAAAACAAAAAAAAAAGAAACAGGAGCTTTCATGCGTCCCTTATCATTGAACTAAGATCTTCAAAGTAAAAAAAATAAAAATTCATAATCTTGAATTGGTAATAGAGTGGAATTTATACTTCATTAAAAACTGTAAGCTTATTTCGCAATCCCCAAAAACGTTTTCAAGCTAGTTTCTTCTTGTGGAAGTTTTCAAATGAAAAGAAGATTGGCATCAGCCCTCTGTGTTCACCATTATGTCCCCGCAGACACAACAACTGACCGGGGCTGGCCTTGATGATGTTCCTCAAAGCTTCCAGGGCCATTTCCACCTTGCCTAACCGCTCCACATGGTCTGGGCTGGGGTTGGCCTTCTGCTGCTGCTGTAGCATCATCAGTGAGTGTAGGTACTGGTTGTCAGAAAGGAGAAAAGCAGAGTTGTTGTTGCTTTTGTTTTGTAGTTTTAGATGTCATTGTTGTTAAGTGGTAACTGTGATTTACCATGACTTTAGCCATGAGCTGACAAGTTAGACTGTTTCTTAGCTTGAATAAAGAGATGAACATTGACATGAAATTGTAATTAAACCCTAGGAAAGAGCAAGACAAACTGACAGAAACAAGAGGGAAAGTAGAAATAAGTAGGTTCTCCAAATGGCACCCTCCAACCACTCATGTATTAACACTGAAAAGAGAGAGAAAAACCAGACCACACCATAGTGACCACTAACCACCCAAAATGGCAGACATTCAAACACAATGTTTCTGAACACAAAAATCTTGAATGCACATCTTAAAGAAACTGGTTGCTTAACAGAGACAGCTCACAGGGGACACCAAAGACAAATAGTCTGACCACAACAAACACAGGGAAAGGAAAACAGCTAAGAGCGTTGAAATGTTTGATTAAGTAACATGAGTCGAAAAAAGTCATGGAATTTGAAATATGTCCATGGTGAGTGCTCGGAACTGACAATTGTTTGAGTTTCATGCCCTGTTCAACACACAAGTTGTTAAAGAGGCTGGGCATCTAAATCATCATGTAGTTTTGATAGGACCTCGGTAAACGGGTGGAGAGCCTTGAAAAGTCTCTAAACAACCCAAATTCATCAACCATCCACATCACAACCTAGTGTGATACCACTGAGTTAATGGCTAGCCCATGAATGCTACACATGTTTCTGGACAATATGACAGTAAATACATAGCCTATTTGCATTTTGCACAATAAAAAGAAGAAAAGTCACGATTTTTCTTTTTCCATGTTACCTGCGCTTGAGAGCCCAAGAAATCCAATAAGTCAATGGTGAAGCCCTTAGGGTTCTGAAATTTAAAAAAAATGTTGAAGAGATTTACTTTAGGTAATCACATTGTTTACACATAATTATGGTGGTGCTGACCTTTGCATCACTTTTCAGAAGAAATCAGACACTCTTTCAGAATTCACAATTCAAATGAAGGTAGCTATTACATTCTTTAAAAAATATATGGAGCCAGATTTTCATGCTTTAGAGTAGGGCTGGATCCTGCTCGCCAAATTTGAGAGTGGCGATTCGCGATTCAGTCGGCTTCAAAGAGTCGCGAGTACGCGAGCGCTCGTGGAACTGTGGCGGAACACTGACTGAAACAGAACAGTGTCATATCAACGCCACTTGGCGAGCGCGAGTCCCACTCTTGTTGTCCCGCCATCCTCTCCGCTCCACACCCTTTGTTGCGCTGCTCTATCTACTGACCTCGATTAGTGACCCCCATAAATTCACCCCCCCCTCCCCACCCCATGATTCGCTAAAACAATGGCTCCATAAAATTCCTTCTGTCTATTAGTTGGACCCCTTTCATTTTGTTTTAATAGGGGGGTTGGACTATACCATCTTTTGTAAAATAAGGGGAGCCGTCCTAAGTGTTCTGTTCCGTTTTTGCGTTCGTGACTCGACTCAGCAGTAGGTTAAACAAGCCACAAGGTGGTGACAGCGACAGGGGAGTGAATCGGGAATCGTTTGGCGATACCGTTCTGCGTTCCGCTGAAGTGAATTGTGAATCGCGTTCCTCAGGCAAGAGTAGCGATTCAGTTCCGTTCTCGCCCTCGCGACCCAGCCCTACTTTAGAGCATAAGAATCTGTAAAAATTGAAAGTTTTGATTACTAATTATCATTACAAAATAGTCCATAATTGAGCTTTTGCTTTCCAGTTCCACTTAAAAAAAAATGGATGCATTGCCCCTTCAGTACAGGTTCAAGTCTGCATGGAAAAAAGCAAACGGGAATCCACAAAGCAGTTGAAGGGAGTTCCAGTTGCTGAGTGATCAGTGAGCTCAGGCTCAAAATGAAGTCAAGCCTGTGTAATGACATGGTGTTTCAATATAGGTAAGTGGCCATTAAGGTGAGTCCTCGAGCTGCACGCACAGTGGCGACCAGCAGTTCTGTGTGGGTTGTATAATATGTTTGTGATAGTATTTATTGTTAATGCATTATATTAATATACAGATATTTTGAATTTATGTACGTCAATGTAAAATACATTTTTCAGAGGGATCAACCAAGAGAATGTTTTTCTTTAAAAAAATTTGAGGACATATATTCCAAAGATGTACAGGGTGATCAAAAAAAAACTTAACAACTTATTTTGTAAATATCTTCCTCCATACTGAAGTTTTGCGTTTCAGATTTGAACATACCGTTTGGAAGCCAAAAGGAATTTGTCTGATATGTATTTTAGATTTGTCCATTGAATGGTTTTGCTCTATATAGCGCATTAAAAAAACCAACCCATTTTCAACCTTGTCGCCATTTTCATAGCATGACGCACCAGTTCGCATTAGGCCTACCACTAAAAGTAGTAACAATCGCGTCATATTACAAGCTACAGCATTCTAACAAGTCAACAGAAGTTTGCAGATATTATTTTTCTCAAATTTTGTTTGCCTACTCAGATCATGGCTACGTTTAGTAAAAGAGCAAAGAGCTTTTTGTATTGAACACTACGTCTCCACAAACTCACCGTCTCTGACATTTCGTAAGTTCTGCGCACGGCATGGAGAGAATGCTTAGATGCGCTCAAGACCTCTGGCGTCATGAGTTGAGAAGTTCCGTCAGTTTGGATCTATAGCGAATCAGAACTAAAAAGTTCTTTAAAATTAACCACTTCAGGTCGAACACGCATCATGCGCAGCCCTTTAAACTTCACCATAGTGCACATTTCAGTAGCCGAGTCCCATGCGACGTCTGTGCGTAGACGGCCTGCAGCTAGGACTTTCCTACACTTTAACAGTCTGCATTCTCATGGCAGATCTTAACCTACGACTATACCATGTTCATCTTCGCTAGGCCGAGATGACATGGATCAGAGCATTGCAATGTGTTCATGATTCCTCGATTGTCTTGTAGAGAGGGATCATTTTCTCGATGACATTTTGTTTAGTGCAAAGCCCATTTTCACCCTTCGAGATATGTTAACTCCAAAAATGCTCTCAATTGGGCACCCCACTCTATTGTCTCTAGAAGCCACTTCTTACTGAAAATGTACACTGTATGTGGCTTTAAAAACTAGTGGTTTAGCAGGTCCTTGTGTTACGGTGCCACTGAACATTTCGAACGACCCATAAAAAATGTGTCGAGTCCAAAAGAGGGAATGAGGAGCACTGCTTCTAGGAATTTCAGAATGAAATCATTAGGTTTTTAAAACTCTGTAAAAGAAATAAAATTTTGTTTAAATGTCACAGGGATGGAAAATTAATGTCAAAGAGAAAATAAAGAAAAATATCAACTAATCTCTTCACGACTTCCTTTACAAGATTTTTAAACATTGGTGAACTTTGCGTTTTTGGGTGCTTTTTTCTTTTAGCCGTTTCCGTTTTCAAAACATGTTTCTTCTTCACGGATTTATATCAAACAAATTCCTTTTGAATGAATTATGTCTGTTCCAAATTACAGTATTCTAGAACAAATTTTGCGAGAGATATTCAGAAAAAAAGTTTTAAAGTTTTTTTGGGATCACCCTGTATGTAGTGACAGCAAGACTGTTGTCTATTAGTCACAACTGAGGAGACTGGGGAAAGCAAAAACATGCTAGTCCTAAGTTCTAGATTGTCATGCAACAGTTAAAAGCACACGGGCAGCACATATTTTCCTGTTGTAGTAGAAAAAAATGACCAATTCTGGTGGGCTGATTCGACATGTATGTAACAAGAGAGTACCAGACAGATGGAACCAAACAGACTGGCATGGATAGAAAGAAGTAAAACGGGAGAGAAAAGTAGAAGGAAACAAAATAAGACAGCAAAGGTAGAAGGAAACAGAGAAGGGCAAAGACAGAAAGAAACAGAGAGGGGCAGAGATAGAAGTAAACAAAGAGCAGGGAAGATATAGAAGGATGACAAATGGAAGAAAACAAAGAGATGGACAGGGGTAGAAGGTAACTAGAAAGGGGCAGGGATAAAAGGTAACATGGAGACACAAGTACAAAAGAAAACAAAAAACTAAATGAAAAGAAGACAATATTGGAAAAAAAACGGTGATGTCAAATGATTTTTCTTCTTGCAAAAAATTGCACTCTAGATTTCCTGTTTCTTTCAAAAGCCAAATTCTTAAAAGTTTTCTTGTCCTACTATTGAATTGAAATATTTATTTAGTGATTACTTTATAGGCTACAGGTTTCATATTTTTTTGGTAAAATATATTTTTAAGCAAAGTTTTTTGTTTTAAAATGCAGCCAGATTTTCAATCAGTTAAAAACTATATAGAAGGCAGGCTTTGACCTACCTGTCAGGGCCAACCTGAGCTGAGAGGGATGCAATGTTCAAGTAGAAAGAGACCAAGATACTCGATCAAAAATTCTCCCAACACTGGAATCGAACTAGGGTCTTGTGTACACAATGGTGAAACGTCTACACCACAAGCACATCTGTGTTGCACAGTGGGGATTTTAAGAAAAGTAGTATGGTTTTGGACATCACAAGTTTTTCAGTATTTTATTTACTTTCCCTCCCGTCTCACACTCAGCTACCAGTTGTCCATTTTCTACTAAATATTGATGCGCTGAACACGAATATCAACTTCATTTCCGTCACAATTTAATAGTTTTTGAAATATTTGATTGTTTTTAACCGAGATAGACATGCTTTGGACCAATCGGGGGGTTCCAGGGGGGCCTGCCCCACTGGGGTAAAAGAAAATCTGGGGGGTTACAGGGGGGCATGCCTCCCTGTTTTTACCCATAATTTTATATTTTACAGTTAGATTTGAAATTGTTTTGAAAATAATTGATTTGCGACAGTTTTAGTGGCTTTATGTGTGATCTGCAGCAAACAGTACAGCAATTTGACCCTGAAACAGTGCATCTGTGAGCGGGAGTGAAAGTAAAAATTTACCAGTTTTTCTTTGAGCAATAAGGACAAAAGATAAAGAAAACAAGCCACATCATTTACAAACCTCCATCGGGAATGTTGGCTGCTCATTGAAGATGCGCACAAAGATTTCCCCAACAATCAGCTCCTTGGCGTGAATTTCAAAGACAAAATCGGAGCCGTAACTTGGGTCACATTCACCCTGAAATAAGTAGAAAAACAAATTTAGAGGATGACAAATATTCTCAGCTCAGTCTGGGGAGGGAATGCGCAGGTCGGAGGAAGGGGGTAAACTTTCTTTCCACTCACTTTCTATGCTACACCATTGAACAAGTCTACAGTTTGTACTGTATGTGTGCCAAGAGAAAGCGACGAAAGACCGTCCATATCATTTCGAACTAAAGGCTCAAAAAAAAAAAAAATTTATTCAAACGTATTTCCATTTTTAAAAAAAGGAAGTGGCTATTCTCACCCGGGTGAGAATAGAAATACGATCGACCTCTCACCCCAGGTGAGACTTGCCACCGTAGGCTATTCTCACCCGGTGTGAAATAAGACCTGTTTTTCCTAATTTCGGAATACTTTCTATCGATATGGATGATCAAATGGATAAAGGCAAAGAAAAGATTACGTTATAGCACAAAAGTAAGCTAATTTTATCGACTACAAAGATGCTATGGCTATTTCACTTTTCGAATCGAGCCGAACTACGGGGGTCGCCATTTTGTTTTGCCCGGAAGTTCTCGCAAGATCTACTCCTCCCTTCTTCTCTCTCTCTGTCTCTTTCTGAATACTGTCTATCGGTGTGGACGATCAAATTAACCAAAACAAAGTTAAAAAATGATGATAAAACACAAAACTAAATTAATTTGGTCGTCTACAAATATGTTACGGCTATTTAACTTTTCGAATCGAGCCAAACTACGCGGGTCGCCATTTTATTTTGCCCGGAAGTTCTCGCGCTACTCCTCTCTCTCCCTCTTTCTTTCTTTCTCTCTCTCTCTCTCTCCCTTCCTCTCTCTCTCTCTCGCAATCATGTGTGGGTGCGAGCGCAAAACAGGGAAACTTGAAGTCACCCCCCCCCCCCTCCCCCGGTCAAAAAATAGGTCACCAGCAAGGAGTTTAGAACTAACTTTTAATCTCCTTGGTCACCAGTCTGAGAGGCTGATCATGAGCTCGCCCGCCTCCCAGCGGTATCGATATATGGGTAAATGAGTTAGTCGCATAGAAATCTGCAGAGAACTCGCTAGTATGGTAACAGCACTGCATTCAAGCATTGTGTGACGTAAGCCTAGTCGTTGACATCCTTTCTGCTCTATACCAAGGCATAGACTGAACATACCTTTATTTTTATATATATATATATATATATATATATATATATATATATAATAAATATAAGGGAATGGGGTGGGTGGTACAGACAATGAGAGAAAGAGAGAAGAGGAGAGAGAGAGAGAGAGAGAGAGAGAGAGAGAGAGAGAGAGAGAGAGAGAGAGAGAGAGAGAGAGGGAGGGGGGGGGGGTGCGGGGCGGAGAGAGACAGATTTTGTTGCTTAGTAAGAGTTTTACGGCGCTCGCAACTGTATAAGGTCATATGAGCGCACGAAAAAAGGTTGGTTCTGTTCGCAACAATACACTGCACAGCCTTACTCTGGCCAGCACCTCTACTAAAAAGCTAAAAATTTGATGTAAATAAACTAATTTAAAACAACTTTTTAAATAACATTAAAAATTTTAAACAATCCCATTCACAACTTCCCATAAAGGCCAATAGCCTTTATAAAATCCAGGATTCTGTTGGGATCAACGACGGAAAACAGATCTTGCAAATTTTTGCATCTAAAATATTTCCTTCGGGTCTCTTCGAAGTCTAGACATTCTATTAAAATGTGTCTAATCGTAAAATATGTGTCGCACCCGACACAGAACGGCCTCTTATCTCCCTGAAGGAGGTATTTATGTGACAGGGACATGCGTGGCCGATGTATAATCGAGTAAAAATGACTTCGTCTTTTCTGGAGAGGTGCGAAGTATTTCGCGGTACCAGTTTGGGCTTAATGTTGTGAAGTTGGTGGCGTCGGTGGCCTAGTGGTTAGGCTCTCGGACTCGCAACCGTAAGGTCGTGGGTCCGAAACCCGTCAGGGGCCCGATGTTGTGTCCTTGGGAAAGGCACTTTGCACACCTTTTCCTCACTTCACCCAGGTGGAAATGGGTACCCGGCTATAGACAGTTAACGATCTTGTCAGTTTGATAGTGTTTGAGCGCGTGGAATCCGCCATGGAAGCCGAGAATGTTTCTGAGAGTTCTCAGAGGGTCTGCTGGGGTAATAATAGTTGTGAAGCGCATAGCTAGAGCATGCTCTTGAGCCTGGATATGCGCTATATAAATGCTATTTTTATTATTATTATTATTATTATTATTAACTTTGTTGTTTACTTGCTTTTTCCAACGAGTCTCCCACAGACTGGTAGGTGAAAAAGGAGGAATGGAAAGAGTGAGCAAAGAGAAAAGGAGAGAGAGAGAGAGAGAGAGAGAGAGAGAGAGAGAGAGAGAGAGAGAGAGAGAGAGAGACAGACAGACAGACAGACAGACAGACAGACAGACAGACAGACAGACAGACAGACAGACAGACAGACAGACAGACAGACAGACAGACAGAGACAGAGACGGGGGGGGGGGGGGGAAGGATGGCAATAAAGGAGGAAAACAAGATGTACTTCCTGCTGTAAAGCCCATATAGTCAGAATAGGCAATAGAAATGAAACCCATTATCACTATTTGACCACTCCATGGATACAATTCAATAGTAAAATAATTATGTAGCAATGCCCACCGAGAGCATTTTGTTCTGCCGATTTTTGGCCCCCGCAGCGGGGGTGTTTCATGGGACGCACTAACGCAAAGGTTGTTGTCTTCAACTCGCTCTCACGCCGCTTCTCGTGAATGGATATGAATGAAACTTGGCAGCCAATCAGAAAAGAGGTCAATCTCGTAGTATGCAGTTTGACAACATTGTAACCATCCTAGAAGCAGTCGAAAACGTTTGCGAAAGTGGTTGATGTGGTGCGCTTTGAAGGTTTTTCGGAGCTGTGATTTGTCAAACTGACTGATACGTTGTACACCATTTTTCTTTATTCCCTTAAAATTTCATGCATCTGTGTTTAGCGGTTTGGGCGTAATCTTTAAAAATGTGGGAGTAACTAAGGAAAAAAGCGACATTGCCATTTGCGCGTGCTGGGTGAACGGCCGGCGGCGTGGAAATTTCCACTGAGTGACGTCATCAGCCATCGGTCGCCTCGGGCGCTACAAACGAGGCCCCGCTTATGTGAACCGGAAAGGGGGGGAAGGATACTTGAAAACTAAACGGGGGCCTTGATAACTTGCGTTTTTGTTGCATTTTAGTCACAATACAATAGATGTAGTCATTTTTATTTGCTTGATTGCATGACAGAAGAATAGAAACAGAAAAGCAAACATCTTGAGAAGTGGTATGGCATTGTGTTTGCGTTATGAAAGCCTATTCCCCCCTCTTGGGAAAGCACACACTTGGACTCGTCCTGTGTGCTCTGTTTGGGAAAAGTGAGGCATTAAGATTGTTATTAAAGAGTATGGTACTTTTTTATTTCCAGTCTGGGAAGATAGTCCCTTTTTTCCATTTTTATCGTTACACTCGTGCATCCAGGAGCGCGCGCGCTTGAGAGAGAGAGAGAGAGAGAGAGAGAGAGAGAGAGAGAGAGAGAGAGAGAGAGAGAGAGAGAGAGAGAGAGAGAGAAAGAAAGAAAGAGAGAGAGAGAGAGAGAGAAAGGGGGGGGGGTGTAAATATGTTACATTTATTGTATGAGTTGTAGCCTACACATGCGAAATATTCCCATGACTTGTAAACTATATTATCTGAACGCATCTTAATCTACCACACAATAGGACACTGTCCAACAATGGATATACACAGAGACGATCTTATTTTCTATAACAAAGTATGCATGCTTTTACTAGTACAAAACTGGATTTATTAGTAGCTCTCTACTTACATTTTTGTGACAAATTGATCCAGAATATTGCTTGGCAAGGAAGAACCTTTTATGTTGCCAAGTTTCATTCAAATATCATGACTTTGGGAGAACATATGACTGATAATCTTTGTAAATCTGTAAAGAACGCCACTTTTTTACCTGTTAATGTCTTTACAACTCAAAAAGTATGACAGATATTAAAAATCTGACTGAATGACTAAATTCTGCTTTAAAAAATGTACTAGACTGCCAAGTTTCATTTACATATTCCAAGAAATAGGCGAGCTATGACAAATATTGTCTCAAAACGCACCGAAAAAGGCCAACATTTTTACCTATAAACGTCTTCATAACTCAAAAAATAGGATAGCTATGAAAAATCTGAACGTCCCATATTTTGGGGTTTTTTCATTATATAAAAGTGTACCAGAAATTAATTGATTAAAAAATCCGTAACTTTTTTGTTTATTGATGGATTTTTAAAATTCAAAAAGTTCTATGCTCAGTGAAGATAAAGCTACAAAATGCACCTATTTGCAAACATTTTCTGGCAAAAAAAGGATTTTCGTGGTCATTGCTAAATTATGCTGTTCGCATTGATATGGATAGCCAAAGAGAACACAACAAAAGAAAAAAGATTTCAAGAATAGCATGTATTATATTATGAATCTGAAACTTCTCCCTCTCCACCAACATGTACTTTTCTTCCTATTACGTATGCATTCACCGAACAACGGTAGCGATAACTGCAGGGACGGTAAAAGGATTCCTGTGAAGTTAAAAATTGTTTTACAGTCGCAGGAGCTTTGATAATGGTCTCTTAGTACAGATGTATGCTAAAATGAAAAAAAAAACCCAGTCAAATTAAATCACACCCGATCACCTCTCACCCCCCCCCCCCCCCCCCCCCAAAGAAAAAAAATTAAATAGTAAAAAATACAAAATCACATCTCACACATCAGCTCAATACAAAAAAAACCCACAACAACAAACAAACAAACTATTTTCTTTAGCCAGCGAAGTAAATCAAATTGGCATCAAATGAAGGCATAAAAAGAAAACAAAACAATACTCGGAAGTACACATAGGCCTACACTGAATGTATGCAGAAGAAAAAAAACACACACACACACACGCTCTCTCTCCTCTCTCTCTCTCTCTCTCTCTCTCTCTCTCTCTCTCTCTCTCTC